AATGACGAAATGTCAGGCCGCTTGCAAACTTCAGACTCGTTCTGGACGAGGATTTTTTTTGAGACAAAGACTAGACACGCCAGGGCAATATGACTAGAAAAAAATACTCGACATGTAGCCCGTCGCTAGCTCACATGAGAGGATTCAGATAAATATTTCAATCTAAATTAAAAGCAAGCCGACACAGATGTAATCGGCTTTTCCATGAGTGGTTTAGCAAGCGCCCTCGGCATCAGAAAGTGCCATATTGCATCCGGCTCTGCTATTCAACGGTTGATGACTAAGAAAGGGAGACTATTCCATGGAATCTCTACCACGTTTACATCGAACACCTCCGACTTCGGTCAGACTTTCAGAGTTTGTAGAATGTCTCACGCTGATCATTTTGGGTGAATACAAATAGTTATAGCTTCGATGTAAAATGACCCGACAAGACTTGAAACTCTGAACAACACTCATTGGATTTTTTTGCTAACACTATCTTTCTGTCGTATTTTGTTCATTTTTCAACCTCAATCTGATTGTATCAAAATTCTAATGTCAGATCTGGAAAAGCTCATCGAAAACTGCAACAGATGCGATATTTTTAACAGAAAGAAAAAGATGTCTCGATTTGCACGTCCCATAATCAACAATCTTCCTCTCTACCTCGTCAGAGTAGCAAAGAAGTTGGAAAAACTTTTTGTCAAAAATGGAATTCCGGAGCTTGGTGGAATATATGGTTCGATAGAGCGAAAGACGCTCTATCTTGTGCTATATTTTGTTTTCTCGTGGAACGTATTTTTGAAATTTAAACAGGCGAAAACGAAAAAGTTGACGATTTTTGACAAGATTTTTCAAACATGTGGAACAAAAACTGATTTTTTGCATCTCTTTATTCAGCTGGAAATCGTAGTCTGGTATCAGATTCGTGTTCAGAGTGAAAAACTGAGTCGATTGATCTATTTAAGAGCTATGCTGAAAAGGATCCCATTAGCTCACGGGCTATGATACTCTAGTACATCATCACAATATCATAAAATTTCATTCATGCTTCCAATACAAGGCTGTTTTGCCATTGTTAGAGTAATAATTTACAGAACCCATCGATGTGGTTTTGTAGAGCTTCTCAGCAGCTATACAAATGAATATAAATTATTGAACAATCAAAAAAAGAATGTTCTGAACTTCTTCCGGCTTTGTGTTGTCAGAATGAATGCAGTCCTCACTATGCATCGATCGTTTCGACAAGCGACAGTCGCAATTGACAAATAGAATGAAAGAGAAAATAGACAATGTGAAACCATGTATGCAGTCTTTCGATTCATTTGAAATCAAATAGTCAGTTCGTGATAAATGTTGAAACATCTTTCTGTCAGAACGAATAGTAGGTTTTCATTAATATTTATTTGGAATTGTTGTGAATTTTCTTTTTGAAAACATTTAATGAGTTCATTAATGCAGTTGATCAAAGAATTGTTGAACAAGACAACCAGATCTCATTTTAGGAAAAAAAAACAAACCTTGTCAAGAGTTAAGCGAGAAATATACAGTAAGTATTGATATGAAAACGCAACAAGGTTAAAGTGTTTTCGAGATGGAATTTGTCTAAATAAACGAAGAAGAATATTTGATGAATATTTTTTAGATTTAAATTTTCTCTAAGATCGTTCGCAAGAGCTTTCTTGTGTTGTTTTACCAAATCAGAAGAAAATCAAAAAAAAAACACACCGCTCCGTATGCGCATGCAAAACAGACGACGACGACATAAACGCGACGGAAAAAAGAAAGAAGAAAAGATTTTTCTGCATACAAGTTGCTAGTAGAAGCATAACCAAACATCACATTACTTTTTTTTTATAATTCTTTCAGTTGTGTTTTTTTGCGTTTTTTTCGTTGATAGGCGTAATTCTTCTACAATAGTGAACTAATAATGGCAACGACGAACTCGTTGAATTTGATTGAGACTGCTTTGACTGCATGTGATAGTATCTCGATCTTCAAACAATTTCTGTCGAAAATTCAAGGTTCATACAAGCAAGAATTCGAGTCATTATCACAGATACTCGAAGAGATTGACGAAATATTAAGAACAAAACCCAATGTTGATTTCCAAGCCAATTCGTCATTTTGGAGTCCATGGTTTTCTGTATTGAATCAAATATTTGATCAATTAGCAGATCTCTTAACTGAAAATATCAAGATGAACGAAAAATCTCTTGATAAAAATTCACATAGTCAAATTCAAGTATATCAACAACAACTCACTGCGCTCATTGACAATTACAAAGTCCATTCACAAACTGAAAGTAAGAAAGCAACCACATTAAGAAACAATCACGACAGCTAATCGATATTCTGGTACAACGGTTCGATATTATGAAATGTCACCTAATTTCCTTTAAGAGAATCATAAACACTTGTAACCTATTTAGTAAACTCATTTCCATATGAGAAGATGTCCCCCTGCTTCTTTATCAAAAGTTCGAAAGGCGTATTCGAATACCCAGTTTTCTAATCCAACCAAAAAAATTCAAAACAATTTTCTGAAGTTCTTTTTTTCATTTTCGGATTTAAATATGCTGTCAGAAAAGATTTATAGTCTTGTTCGATGATCGGAAAATAGCTTCTACATATTCGAAGAGAACTACGTAGAACAGAAATTGAACAGCATACTCGTTGTAAAATATGGTTATGCTCTAAAATTCGTTCAACTCTTTTCAAGTTCGAATGAAAAAGACGTACTCTAAGAGTAGTGAACAAAAGTCTCTCATCTAGCAGATCTCAGTTTCCATACACACAAGAGATCTCAAAATTTTCGTACACATGCTTACGCCTATAACAGTTCAAACTCATAAGTTCGATTCTTGCGACAAAAAGAACTGTGCCAACAGTTCTCATGAACGATGAAGTTCTACGAGTAGTTTAATAGTTCGTTTTAGAGGAATCCATGCTTTCTCACGGCTCATATTAAAGAAACTCTCTAGTGCATAAAACAGCGAGAAAAAAAATTGGATTTTACTGTAATATTATAGCCTAAATACTAGAAGTTAATTTTAAAATTCAACGAGATGACCTTTTATTTAATACTATTGTTTGTATGGAATGTGCAAAGAGAGAGAACATGTTCTCCACTGTAGAGAGCGAATGCAAAGACAATAGATGATGGACAGCACAAACAGATATTATACAGAACACTAGAGTGGACAATAGTGTGCAAGCGAAGGACATTTTTATGTTACTATTCTGTTCACACTCACGAGGGAATGTTTTCAACTGTCTAATCGCTTTTTCAATGAAAGCTA